CAGTACCACTAATGTCAGCTTGACAAATTTCCTCAGCAATCGGCAAGGGGTCAACAACTGGGAAAGTGTAATCATCTGTTAGGAGCAATGACCATGATAAAGAATGATTTCACAACAAAAGGGTGCTTTCATGTGGTAAAGACGAGCAACATAGAACCGTTAAAATGTGTTATTTCTTATAGAATTCTTAAGTTGATTTTGTTTTGTAGTTGACATAGATTTCACCAGATTTGGTTGAGTCCCTGTGTTTTAGCTATATTGAGTAGAAATATTTCGAATATTTACACAAATCAGGCTTTGAAGTTTTTCAAAGTTTTGCAGCCCATGTAAAGTGTTTCTGTGTCCTTGTACACAAATTAGGAGGCACGGCACGACATGCGAGTTATCTCTACTCAACATGGTTTTCTCTTTCCCATCATGCTGTCATATCCCACATTCATCTTAGAAGGTAAGGGATGAAGAAAACATTATATGTATGAGTGATAAATTTACAAAGTTGCAGAGTGTTAACATGAGTCACAAGCCAGAATCATCAAATAGGGCAAATATTACCTCACTTTCAGTGAGTGGCCGGTCAGATGACAAAACAAAGAGAATCAGATCAGCTTGCGGAATAAACTCTTCAGTAAGTCGTTGTTGCCTTTGGAGAATTACATTCGTGCCTGGTGTATCAACAAGGTTCATCTGTTACAAAGTAGATAAAAAGGTAATTTATCAAATAAAGAGAGAATATTTGGTTTTAGGTACTCCATCAAAGTAATTGTGATATACTTTGCAGAAATTCAGATATTTGCTGTGGGGACATCTTTTTGCTGAAGAATAAGAAGCAGAAGGACTAAATTTTTCATATCTCGATCCTTAAGGCAACAACCTTAGAACCATGGCAAAACTTTAATGTCGGGGATTGTGAAGAGTTGCAAAAGACTCATGAATAGGTGGGAATACAGTACATACAATAACTTAGGGACGCAGATATTATGATTCAGAACATAGTGAAGACTCCTAACTCTTGCTAAACAGTATCAATATCAAGCTACTAAAGAGTCCTGTTGAAGGTCAGACTAAAAACAGGAGGACAAAAAAAAGGTTATTAGCTATAACAACTAAATTATTCTAAAGAAATATAATACTCTACATTGATATTATATTTAAATTAATATTCTAATCTCATAAAAAACAAAAGAAGCTATTTCTGTTTTAAAAAAATCACTTTCAAAGTTACTTTTTGATAATTCCTAATCATATCCATAGCTAGTCCCAATAATATTATAGCAGCCAATAATGTGGTCCGCAAAAAATAATGCATCTGAAGTAGCTTAGGAAATATAATAACGACCAAGTAAAATGGATTGGCAAACATTTGAATATCAACTGACAGATGCACATAAAAGACATTTAACAAAAAAGGACTTGTATAGACACGTAGGAGTATCAGTATGTTTAAAGGAGCTTACATTCTTAAGAATAGGTGAAGACAAGTAGCATATAAATTGCCCATCTGGACGTCTTTGACATCTTTCTTGCTCATCAAAGTCTTTCTCAGAATAACAAAGCAAAGTGATCTCATTTGTTGTAGGAATCACTCCTTCCTTGAGGTACCTTCTCCCAAGAAGAGCATTTATGACGGTAGATTTTCCAGAATTAAATTCACCCTAAACACATTCGTGAAAGAAAATACTGGCACACCATAATAAAAGAGGAGTAAAACATATAAAAGAGATTATAACAGAAAATTCTAGTTTATATAACGAGATGCAGATGCTTTAAGTCTACAGAACTATCTTGTGTAATTCAATGGAATAAAAGTGATGGAATATGATACCATGTTTTCCATGACAAATTTCATTGTTCAAGCAATGATATAAGATCATGCATTCTAATAACGGTCATCGAACATTCACTACATAAATTATGAATGAGAGAATTAAGAGAAAAAGAAGCCATAGGTCAAATTTTGGAATGAAGTTGGATTCATCTATTTTAGTATTAAGTAACAGAACTTTTCAGAACAAAGATTTCAGCTATATTCAAAGAATAATCTGGTAATTTCAGGTAGTATTTGTCAAGTAAGCCAGCCCAAATTCAAACAGATGTAATTCTATGAAAGAAATGAATTCATTTGAATGTATGAACACCTGGACTCTGAAGGTTCGTGCAAACGTGTGGTCTATATAAGGATTCATATAAAAAAGTCCTCATACACAATTAAACAAGTTCGGAAACAGAAATTTATCCCCAACAGGAATATCATGAACATTTAGAAAGTTATTACTAGACTCATCATATTAATTTCTCTAAATGTCGAGCTGACATCGTAAACATGGTTATGATTCTTGAGATTAAAGTTTTCATACTTCAAATTACCACGATAACCAGCAAAAATGGCTCACTGAGGCGAGAAGCAGCGTCTAAGAGGAGCCCAACTTCTTTCATCTGTCATTAGATATAGACATTTCATGTTTCTTGTCATGCAAACTGAAGAAAGTTCAGTTGTATAAGTGAGATTGTTGAAGAGTATCATAAGCTACCAACTGTTTAGCATAAGGAGATCACCATTGGTGCAGCTTCCTGGATAACACCAACTGCTTCCCTTAATAATATTCTTTCTGATTCAATCAGTTGTATCTCTTTTGTAGCCAATTTGGCAAAACCAGCAACTCCATTTTTCTCAACAAACGTCTCTTTGACAGCTACTGCCTCTGAACTTCTGGAATTTTGACTTCCTTCTTGAAGGATTCTTTTTGCCATGCGTGTAGTAGAAAATATCTTCTTCAGAACTTCATCACCACAAAGCTTCAAACTACTCAGAGACAAAACTACACCAGGAGCACCTATGTCGAATAACTTCAGCATCGAATCAATAAGCAAGTCCCTTCCAAGTGAATCAGCAATGCTAAAGAAAACAGGCACCTTAACATGCTGGATAGCAGCATTTTCCAGTACATGGGCACAATTTTCCGACGCATTGCAAATTACAAGGAAGTCAGCACCTTCAGAACTAGATGCAGTTACTGCAGAATTTGTACTTTGCACTATTCTTGCTACCAAGGGGAGATAAACAGTATCTGATTTGGATTTCATCATCATATTTCTAGCAACAATCGGCGGAAGACCTGCAAAAGAAGATGAGATACCATGAAACTCCAAGACCAGATCACCTTGTACTCTGGAAGGTAACTTGGGAGATGAACAAGATAGGCATTCCGCTTGTCAGTAAACAAGGCGAGGTTTTTAATATGACACGGTGATTACTCATTAAACTTCCCTGGTCGTGAACCTAAAAGACTAACCGATAGGCAATCGACCGGGGATGTTTAGCCATCAAAGGTGAGCAGAAAATGTACAATCAGAAAACGCCAAAGAAAGAAAAAACATCAAATACAAAAGGATAAATCATAAGTTTAATTAAGTTAAATGGGTGGTCACCCTGATCAGAGAGGAGGACTCCACTGGCTCCAACAGCAGCAGCAATGTCCACACGCTCACGAATCAAAAGATAAGCTCTGTCCCCAACCAGGGAGTT